AATATACTTAAAACTCTTGCAATATTTTTGTTTATTTAACAGTCTTTGATAACTGACACCTCCCATACCTCCCCCCCCTAAAAGATGCCTACCTAAAATGGAAAGGTGGAGGAGTAGTGGGATTTGGCATTGCAATTTTTAAAATAAAACATCAAGAAAAAGCACAAGGTTCACAGCAGAAACTAAAAATATAAACTGCTATGAGCCTAGAAACAAAAAAATGGCTGGGCACTGCAAGCATCTCCCCTTTCCCCTGCCCCAGGTCTACTCAGAGTTGCAGTGGCACTCCAGTGTAATGTCCTGTGTAAAACCTGTGGGTTCCCAGGTTAGAGTACTCACTCAGGCACCTGTTCTCAGGTCCATTCAGCAGAGACAAGCTGGCTCAAAACATCAACCCTGTATTTGCAAGGAGTCAACTCCATCAAGCAACAGTTTCAACCATACAAACACTGGAAAGTGAAATTTCTTGAGTTCCACTCCATTGAAATACATTGCAGCACAGGCAAAGTTGCACAGAAGATGTAGAATGGATTTCCCATTAAGGTCTCTGGGCCCAGATAGACTACCGTGGGACTGGAATGACAGCCACCGGAGTGAAATGACAGTCCCTGGGAGTAGCAGAAGCGTTCTGGGAGTGGAATTCCATTCCCAGAATGCTGCTGCTACTTCCAGGGACTGTCATTCCGCTCTGTGCCCTGTCATCCAGAACACAGATTCTATTGCTGGAAACAGTCCCAGAGTAGTCTATCTGGGTGCAGAGATCTTAATGGAAAAATCCATTCCATATTTTCTTGTAACTTTGCAAGCCCAGAAGAGCTTCCTGCCAAAGCAGGCAAAGACAAGATGGAGGGAGCTGGGAACTTCAGCAGCCTCAAGCTTCAAAGGGTAAGGACAGGAGGGGGGAAGAATAGAGCCGCGGGCCTGACTAAAGCCATGGTTGGGCCATTTTCTGGCCCGCAGGACTTAAGTTTGACACCCCTGCTCTACCCTCTTGTACCTGGTGTAGAACTTTACCTGCCAGCTGTAATTGTATGGGTTTCATAACTTCGCCATTGAGCACTCTTCATATAGTTTTTGGCTGTGATCCAGCAAGTTTCAGTCTCACATGTTAAAACTGGGCTTCCTCGTTACTGTCTATGGAAAGGAAATACCATGTTCTCACAAAGTTTAGTCATTTGTAGCCACCAGTGGGAGCTCTGTGCATGAGCAAGGAACTAGATCATAGTCTTTCTGTGTAACAGCCTGGAATGCATTTACAGCCTTATTGCTTACCACAAAGTAAATCTGTGAACATATACAATAGTGAGAAGCATATACCGGTAATTAAAACTGTATGAATGCTAAAAAGGAAAGAAATACAAAACTATGCAAAATCTGTGGGGACTTCTACATCTTTTCAGTGGCTGCTCTACTTTTCAGGAAGAGGTTTTAACGTATGAATTTTGTACACCACGTTAAACATTTGAAAAGAAGGTATACAATTTTAAAATAAAATATATTTTAGTTACTTGCTATGCTTTTCAACTCAAGCTGACTAATGTTTTGTTAACTGACAGTCTCTTCTCTCTACGAACCCTTAGCAGAAAAGCCATCAAGACTTCCACCAAGGAAACCGCAAGGAAATGTTCCCCTGACACCATCAGATCCAAGAATACCATTACAACCATTACAGCCAGGAGGAGTGCCATCACCATCCAAACCAAGGATACCACTACAGCCAGAACCAGGAGAACCTGTGCAACCATCTCAACCAAGGATATCTGTACAGCCATCACACCCAAATAGACCTTTGCAGCCATCTCATCCAGAAATAATCATGCAGCCACCATTACAAGGAATCCCTCTTCAGCCGGCAGATCCTAGAACTCCTCTACGGCCATCATTACCAGGCAAATCACCTGGCTTATCTCTCTTGCCTGGTTCATCTGGGATGTTGATGGAAACTGGGCAGGCAGGCCCTCCTGGTACTCTCTTAATGAAAGGAAGAGGACGGTCAAAAAGCATAGATGGTCAGGATGGACAAAATAATGTGCCTCTTTCTGAAGGATATGCTGGAGCTCCAGGTGAGCGAATAATTTTTTTTCTTTCGATGACTTTTCTAGTCACTGACAAAGCCAGCATATCTGTAACAGTAAGAACCCAGAGGTCAGTTGTTCTGTGTGGAAATAGAGTTGCCAACATAGATTGAGACGGGTTATGTCAACCTGCATCTAAAATTGTAAGACAAGCTGACCTGTGAACTGAAAGTGTCTATTCCTTTCTACACTGTGATAGTAATTACTGCGGTGACATGTGAGAAGGGGCCCTGAACACAAACTCAGTGCAAGTGGAACATGCTGCTGAGCAGGGCTCTAGTCGGGGGGGAGCTCTCAGGTACGGAGCTCCGGAAGAGAACCTCTGGGGGGGGCGGTCACGTGGTGAAGCCCCGCCCCCTTCTTTACCCCGCCCTCTGCTTCGATCCTCATTCCGTTTGGGAAAACTCAGTGCAAGTGGAACATGCTGCTGAGTATTACCACATTGTTTCTAAAATAAGAGAGGCTCTAGCAGATATCTGCCAAAGACCATCGTAAACGTAGCTGTCATTACCACCAATGTAATATACGTTAATATGGATTCCACTGCATTACAACAACACAAAAGAACGGAATGGGATGGGTTTAATATAAATAGCCTTAATGGAATGGGAGTATGATGTCAAGTATTATCTGGCCTCTCAAAACAAATACCTGACCCTAGGGAGGTCAGTCCTTATAACCCCTGGACACCAGATGCCTAGACTTTTAAAGCTGAGCTGCTTTTTTGGGGGGGGGGATTCTGTAGTGGAACACAGCAGTTTATATCTGTTGAACTCCTGGTCTGTATAGAAATAAGAAAGTTTCCACTTCCACTTCTCCTCCAATAAACCCTTGGGTGAGAAAGACATGGGAAAATTTCAGACGTAGCAGGCCCCCTGGAGAAGTGGCTCTATCAGTTCTTCGTTTAGATAGCAGTAACCAGCCCTCTTAGCCTGGACTGGTGCCACTCACTTCAAAAGCGACATTCAATTGTGGGATGCAGTAATAGCACTGGAACTAATCACATTTGACAAGGGATGAAAAGTACTGTAGATCTCTGTGTGTGCACGCATACGCGCATGCACATTCTGCATCTTGTTAACACTTACTGCTTTTGATTGCAGGATATCCAAAACCACCACGACATCCATCTACAGCTACACAAGGTAATTTAATTATTGCTCAGAATTTCTCAGCAGTTATGCCTATAACCTGCTTTCTGGTCTTTAGTGAGGCAGTTTATGCCATAAATCCTTTTTCCAATAATTGTTATTAAAAAAAAAATCCAATAGGGTTACATAAATATGAAATTGTCCTGTTAATTATTTTGAAGAAGACCAGAGAAAAGCAAAGATAATTTTTTTAAATGCTTCATAAGTGTTCTATATCTGCTTAAAATGAAAGAATGCAATATTCTCTTCTGGTTATTCCATTGAAGCAACAGATCATAGACTGATTCTCAAAATGGAGATAAATCAGTACAATGGATAGAAAACCAGTATGTAAGGCTTCTTACCCAGAAGTCCCAGCATCATCTGAACTGTACAGATTTTGCATAATGCTGTGTACGCAGATATAAAGCTCTTTGTCTAGCGCATTTAGTATCTCAGGGCTAAGCATGGAGAGACCTCAGTCAGCCAACCAACCAGAGGGACAGAACTGTTGGTTCAGCTAGAGACTATTCTGCTCTCATCATAAACCAGTTGATTGCTAACATATTCCAGACCTCTGTCTGAGCAACTGACTGCTGGTGTAAAATATGCAGAAAGCACGCACTGCTGTTTAAATTCTGAGGTCAATCCAACTTGTTCGTATTAGGATGTTGCATGGGCTCAGTAGTCAAGGCATTGCAATTTAGTTGTCTGAAGTCAGATTCAGGTTTGAATAAATGTGAGCATCATGATTAGCCCTAATTAAATATGCTACATTTTTTTCTGATGAAAGTACAAACATAAGCTTATCCCACCACCATGTGCAGTTAATGGCTGTTTATTTATATATTTAGATACAAGTAGGGAATCTGCAAGGTCTTGCAGGGGAATCTCATTTCCCCCTGTGTCCTTACTATTTCTTTTTCCGTTTCCTGAAAGCCCCCATAGCCTTTCCCCTTTTCCTTCTTCCTTCTCTCTTTCCCACCCACCAGCCAACTGACCTTTATTCCCTCCTTCCCTCCCTCTGGCAGCCTCTCCCCTGGAAGAGGGGTCTGGGCCAGGCCGTTGCACAGTAGGACACCCACAAAGACATGAGGGGGAACCTCACTTTTCCCCTGTATCCCCCTCCCCACACTATTTCCCTTTCCCTCCTCCTGGCAACCCTTTTAATGTCACCTTTCCTTCTTCACACCCATGAGTCAATTAACCTTTCATCTGTTCCCCATATTAAGCTATATTTATTTTTCATTTACTTCATTTATACCTCACCTTTCTCCACAATGTGGACCTAAAAGCAGGTTACAGTATTCTCCTCTCCTCCATTTTATCCTCACAACAGCCCTGTGAGGTAGGTTAGGCTAAGAGTATGTGACTACCCAAAGTCAGTCATTGAGCACCATCACAGAGTGGGGATTCAAACTTGGGTCTCCCAGATCCTAATCTGAAACTCTATCCACTACACAACACTGGTTTTTGTGTAGTGGCTGTTGCTGAAGAGTAGCAAGCAGCTGGGCCTGTCAGTGGTTGCTTCCCAGTCTGGCCTGATGAGGCCTTCCTCAGATGTCAAAACAGCATTGGAAAAGGCCCTGCCCCCTCCCCCTGCCTTTGACTGACACAAACCAAGGTGTAGAGGATGGCAATATTGTTGCGGTTGCCTAGCAACCCTCACAATGACCATTGGTGAGGGCATCCTTTTTTAAAAGTACAGGTACAACTTTTTAAAAAAAAACCCAGTGTTGTTGTTTTTTTAAAGAATTCAGATTTTTCTGCAACCTTGGGGCTTTTTCAAGTTTGTTGAAAAATCTGCCTTGTCTGTTCTCTGGATTTACATATCCACAGGTGGAGGGCACATTGAAAAATAGATTCAGCACTACTGCTGAATGGATTCTGATTTTCCAGATCCCTGACTGTCATCTCCCCAGTTCTAGAATTCTGTGGATCATTCCTGTCAAGGAGTCCAGGCCTGAACCCGGAGCTAGTGCACACAAGAAAACAATCCTTGTAAAAACGTATTAAGTTTATTTGAATACTTTTCAGAAATAGTTTTTTCTCTAGGCAACACACTACTCTAAAATCATAAAGCAAAAGAAAACAAGAAAAACTAGCTT